AGAGCACGACTCATAGCGATCCTATGAACAAAAGACCTGAAGCCCTTCTACAACTATCGACATTTATCAAAGTTCATTGAGTTTCTGAAGGCAAGATGTTTTATCTGCAGCAAGCACCTCAAGTCTTCCTTGCTTTCAGCAAACAATGTTTTGTCATCTACATAATGCAAGCTATTGATAAATTTTCCTCCAATTTTGATGTTACGTTCCTTTTCATATGGTCCAGTTTCTCTAATGATTTGCTTCACATACAGATTGAACAGGTATGCAGAAAGGACAGAACCTTGTTAATTTTAAACCATATTGTATTTCCTTGATTTAATATACCCATGGTCTTCACCTTGTGAACTATACAGGAATCAAACTGACCACATCTGTGGAAAAAATCCTTGGAGAACCTCATTACCAGCAGTCAATATAAGTCAGGTGCTGACTGTGGAACAGACCATCAATTACTCAGATGCAAGTCCAAATTGAAGTCAAAAGAAATGAAAACAAATTCACAAGAACCAAAATATGATCTTGGGTCTATCCCACTTGAATTTAAAACTACCTCCAGAATAGGTTTGAGGTCTTTAATACTAGTGATTGAGGGTCAAATGATAGTAGGATGACATCAAAGATAACCAATAAAAGAAAAAAAGGTAGTTATGAAGACAGAGGAGGTAGAAAAGACAAAAATCGATGTCAAAAGAAACTCTGAAAATTATACTAGACATGGCTGGGCAGTTGTTAGTTGCTGTTGAGTCTAATACAACTCAGAGCAACCCTATGAACAACAAATCTGAACCGCAGTGCCGATCAAAGAGGCTAAAAGCCCAACACTAAGCCCATCACCAGGAAGGAAATAAGACCAAGAAGGAGATGGAAAAGAAAAAAGAAAAATAAGTATAAGAAACACAAAAAAGATAAGAAGCTCAAAAAGCACTAAAAACACAAGAAGCAAAGGCAATGGCTGCAGCTGCCACAGCTGCTGTCACTCCTACAGCCTGCAACCACATCAGCACAGGAAGAACCAGAGGCAGAGCCAAAGACCAAGAAGGACACTGAAAGTGGAGCTGAAGACAACCTTGATGACTTGGAAAAGCACCTATGTGAAAAGGTTCTGATGTCAATGTGGAAGCCTCAAGTGTCCCCAGTGTCTTAGATGGGAAGGTTTGTAAGATGTAAATTTGGTCTGTACACAATTCACTTTCAAAATTGCTAAAAGTGTTTGAGCTTCAGATTATAACATTTGTTGTAATAATTTCTAGATTGAAGTTAATCATGTAAAAATGAAAAGAGAAGTTATGGATTTACACTGAAAAAATGTGCTGGACCGTAAACCTAAAGGTCAGTGGGTTAAACTCACCAGCTGTTGAGTTTGAGAAATATGTGGCAGTCTAGTTTTGTAAAAAGACCAAGACCTGAATCAGGCACTCTTTAGTCTTCAAACTGACTTCATCACTCTTCATCATTTCAGAGAAGTCCCTGACAGCAGACTTACCCAATGCAATGTCTCCTGATCTAGATTTTACAGGAGCACAATTTAGTATTCTGGGATTTCTGTTCTATAGTGTGAGTCAGTGCATGATCTTTTCAATTAGTTATTATGCCTCTGAGAGCTGTGCAATGAATAGGGATGGCAGAAGAACTGATGTCATTGAGTTGTGGTATTAGAGAACAGTACTGAATATCCCATGGACTGCCAAAAAAACCCCAAATAAGTATGTCTTGACGAAAGTGAAGCCAGAGGCCCTCTTGGAGGCAAAGATGGTGAAGCTTCATCTCTCATACTTCAAATATTTTGCTAGGAAAGACCATTTCTTGGAAAAGAACATCATGTTTAGAAAGGTGAAAAAGGTTGGCAATATTGAGGAAGACTCCTAGCAAGACAAATTGACACAGTTACTGCAGCAATGGGCTCAAGTATGTCGGAGAGGATGAGAAAGGCACAGGATAAGATAGGATTCAGATTTGTTGTTCACAGGGTTGTTATAAGTCATACTTGACTCAATGGCACCTAACAACAAAACCAATTTTTATCAAGATTTGCACTAATGTAAACTCTTTGGAATACTTTTCCCCTTTAAGGTCACTTTGAGGTGTAATTGACTCAACAGAAATGGGCTGTTTTCTCCTTTGATCTCTTGAGAAAACAGATTTCAATGACTCAAGACCTTGTTGTAATGATCATGTTTGACTTAAAATGTACATACTGAAATTTATTGATGTTCTCTAGGACTAGACTCTTTTACTAGCCAGAGAGCTCTAGAAAATTTAGATTTCTGTATTGAGAACCATACCAAAGAGCCCTAGTAGCGTAGTGCTAAGGTCTTGTCTACTAACTAAAGGTAGGTGCTTTGAATTCACCAGTAGTTGTTTGGGAGCAAAAATATGATGATCTTCTTTTATAAATATGGTAGCCTAGGAAACCCTATGATGCAATTCTATTCTGTCACATGTGGTTACTATGAATTGAAATTGACTCAGTGGCTCACAACAACAGCAACAACCACACGAAGAACCATGATAAAGTAAATGGTTAAAAGCCAGGGAAATCTGAAGGACTTATTTCACCCAGTGAAGATGATGGGTAATTTATGGAGTGTTTTAGAACTATTCCTTAAAAATGTAATCTACTCCTCTTTGGGTTTAGATGTATTCTTGATCATGGTGTCTTGGCTTTGAGAACGCACAACATGTGCCAATTACATTTATCAAGGCAGAAGCCATAATATGTGCAGAAGGTGGTGAGGAACAGGAAAATGCCATCTGAAACAGGGAAGAAAATCCCATCTGAAATTACATGGATGCGATATTTTGTAAAGCTTGGTCCTTGTGCAACAATGAATGAATGGCAATTCAAAATCTCTGTAAATGTTCATTAAAGTTAATAAAATTAAATTAAATTAGATTAAATTTTTTTATAAAAAAGAAAACCAAAAAAAATCTTTGTCCTTTTTGAGGCCTTATTCTAATCTCCTACAGTGAATGAAATGTGCAAGCAGCTAAAGTAAAAAAAAAATCAAAAGAGCCAAACTTGGTCAACATTTCTTAAGCTGAAGGAACGGAAGAAAAAATTCAAGCCTGGAGTTGCAATACTGAAGGATGCTTTGGGCAGAATATTAAAGGATCCAGGAAGTATTAAAAGAAGATGAAAAAAGTAAACAGAGTCATTGTACTAAAAAATAATTGGCTGATACAGAGGAATTTAATGAAAAAAACGTGTGAGCTAGAGCCTGGGGTAGTGAAGGAATAAGTTCAAGCTGCTCTGAAAGAATTGGCAAAAAACAAGGTCCCAGGAATTGATGGCATACCCATTGACATATTTCAACAAACACATGCTGCCCTGGATGTGCTCACCAAGTTGTGCCAAGAAATCTGGAGGACAAAGACCTGGCCAACTGAATAAAGTAGTGATGAATATTTGTTCCCATTCCAAAGAAAGGTGACCCAACAGAGTGCAGAAATTATCGAGCAGTATAAGTGATATCACATGCAAGCAAGATTCTGCTAATGATTATCCAAAAATGAACGGAACAGCACATCAACAGAGAATTGCCAGAAGTGCAGGCTGGGTTTAGAAGAGGCTGTGGTACTAGGGATATTAATAGCTACTGTCAGATGGACCTTGGTCGAAAGCAGGGAATACCAGAGGACTATCTATCTGTGTTTCGTTGACTATGCAAAGGCATTTGATGGTGTGGAACACAATAAACTCCAGAACACTTGATTGTGCTTATGTGAAACCTATACTTGGACCAGGAGGCAGTTATCAGAACAGAGCAAGGAAACACTGCATGGTTCAAAATTGGGAAGGGTGTGTGTCAAGGGTGTGTCCTATCTCCATATCTTTTTAATCTATAAGCAGAACACATTATGTGGATGGTGGGACTCTATGAGGAGAAATGTGGCATCAGGACTGGGAGTAGATTAATCAAGAATCTTCATTATGCAGATGATACAACCCTGCTTGCTGAAACTGAGGAGTCAAGAAATGCAGCCTTCAATATCGATTGAAACTCAACATCAAGAAAACAAAGGTCCTCACCACTGGGCCGATTGGCAGCATCATGGTGGATGATGAGACTGAGACCGTTTGGCTCTACAGTCAACACTCTTGGTACCAGCCAGGAAATAAAAAGATAAATTGTATTGGGAAAGTCTGCTGCCAGAGACCTCTCAAAAATACTGAAGAGCAATGATGTTAGTCTGGAGACTAAGGTGTGTCTGATCCAGGCCATGGTTTTTGCAATTAGTTCCTATGCCTCGGAAAACTGGACAAGTACTAGGCATAATAAAAAGAGAATCGATGTCTTTGAGCTGTGATGCTAGAGAAGAGTATTGGATATACCACGGACTGCTAGGAGAACAAATATGTTCATCCTGGAGAGGATGAAGCCACATAGGTGTCTCAATGACACATAACAACCAAAACAACCCTCAGTATATTCAAACATGCCTCTTATTGTTGTTATGTGCCATCAAGTCACCTGTGACTCGTAGTGACCCTATAGCTATAAACCCTGGTCTATCCCTAGCCAATCTTATTTTCTCCGACACACCTACCTCCATTGCTGCAGTGATTGAATCAATCCATCTCAGGGGTCTTCCTCTCCTGCGCTGTCCCTCCACTCCCCCAAACATGACGTCCCTCTCCAAGGACTGAACCCACCTTTCAACATATCCAAAGTATGTCTGACAAAACTTCAGAATCTTTGGCCTCCGAGGAGCATCCTGGTTTCACCCTTTCCAGGACAAACTTGTTTGTTCTCCTACCAGTCAACGGTATCGTCAATATTCTTCTCCAGCACCACAGCTCAAAGACATCAACTCTCCTTCTACCCTCCCTAGTCACCATCCAGCTTTCTGATGCATAAGAAGTAAAAACCAGGACAACTCACAAAACCCAACAAAGAAAGAAACAAATGAATACAGCAGGAAGTTATTTAGATGCATTTATTTAACATTCAGGCCAGTCACGCATTTTAGTGGCCTTGGGTTTTACCACCTTGATTCTAACAAGGCCCGGATTTTTTTATTTTGATGGAAGTCTGACGCTTCCTGTAGGAGAAAACGGGGAAGAAAAAAAAAGTTTAAACTTACAAAAAGCTGACCATTGGAATGAAAATAAACACATACCCTATATTTACAACAAAAAGGTTTGTGATTTATTTCCAATTTTCAGTCTCTAATTCATCAGATCATGCTATAATACTGCCTTATATGCTAGTGATATATGGAGAGGAAAATGTCTTGCCTTATGGACTTCAGGGATGTAGTGGATCACTACACTAAACTACTGGATTCAATCTATAAGCCATTATTGCTTTTATTGCCCCTGTTGCCACTGCCCTAAGATCCAGTTTTCCATCTTAGTTGGTAACTATTGCACCACCTTCTAAAGGGACTGATCTTTGACCTTAGAATTCTGAGGTTTTATATATCTGGGAGCTCACAAACCACAGCTCTATTACATAGGATACCTGCCAGTTTTAAGTATTTCTTATTCTGCATAAAAATTTCTCCGGTCCTCTGAACACTATCCTTTCCAAGCTAACTTTCTCAGTCTTAGGAAAAATATTTCTAAATACTGTAACTGTTTCTCATCAGATTGTTTTCAGATCGCTCTCTCTTCTAATGCATTTTTACTTAAATATATTGGTTTATAATAATTCTTCAATTTCTGTATAACATAAGGACATTGGACTTTCATTTACATTTACACATCAACTTTTTTGGATCTTCTCAGCTCTTAATTTTAGTGTTTTTTAATTCTTTTAGGTTCCACAATAATTGTTGTTGTTGCTGTTAAATGTCATCAAGTTGCCTTCAAGTCATAGCAACTGTATGTATAACACTCTGAACTCTGCCCTGTCTTGAGCCAATCTCACAGACCCAAACACAGCTATCCCCATTGTACTAGTTACTGTATAAATCCACCTCATGAAGGGTCTTCCTCTCCTGCACTGTCCTTCCACTGTTTCAAGCACCTTGTCCTTCCCTCCTGGCCATGTGCCCAAAGTCTGTAAGACAGAACTTCAAAATCCTAGCTTCTAAGGGGAAACTTGGTTTCATCCTCTCCAAGACAGACCTATTTTTTTTGTGTGTGTGTGTGTCCATGATATGTTCAAAACTCTTCTCCAGGACCACAACTCAAACACATCAATTCTTCTTCTGTCATCCTTAGACATTGTTCAGCTCTCTGATGAATAGCAAACAATTGCAAAGACCAGGATCAGGTGCACCTTAGTCTCTAGACAGACATTGTTACTTCTCAGTAACTTCTCAGTTACTTCTTATTCGTCTTTGATTTCCTGACTGCTAGTGCCAAGAGTCTTGATTGTGGAGCCTAGAAAGCTGTAATTGTTAACAATCTCAATCTCTTCTCCATCTATCCTGGTGCTGCCAGTTGGCAGAGTGGTGAGAATCTTTTGTCTTTTTTCATGTTGAAGTCTACAGTACTTGACTTTCTAAAGCAAGTGCTTCATGTCCTCCTCAGTTTCAGCAAGCTGTGTCATCTACATAATGTAGGTTGATGATGCGTCTTCCTCCAATCCAGATGCCACATTCCTACTCATAAAACCCAGCCTCCTGAGTGATCTGTTCTGCATATAGATTGAAAACATATGGAGACAGGATGCATCCCTGACACACTCCTTTCCTGATTTTGAACCATGCAGTGTTTCTTTGCTTTATTTTGAGGACTACCTCCTGGTCCAAGTATAGGTTTCATGTAAGCACCATTGAGCTTTCTGGGATTCCCATCCTCCTCAAGACTAATTACAATTTTTGTCATACACACAGTCAAATGCCTTTGTATAGTCAATGAAACACAGACAGATATTCTTATAAACTCTGTGCTTCCTGCCAAGATCCATCAGACATTGGTGATAATGTCTCTAGTTCCATGACCTAATTATCATTTCTGAATCAGTTAGCATTGTTGTTGCTGTTGTTGTTGCTAAATGTCATAGAGTCACAGATGACCCATAGCAACCCTATGAACAAAAGTTTTGAATACAAAGCTTTCATCTTTTCTCAAAGTTCATAGAGTTTCCGGAGGCAAGCTTTTATGGATGTTACTCTTTCTTCCAACCCTATCTGTGAGAGCCACAAAAACCAGGCCTGAGGGCCCAAAAACCTTTTTAAAGGCAAGGTCAAATCCAATAAGCTCACACCCTATTGTGAGCAAGAGCCACACCCTAGTCTCAGTCTCAAACTAGAAAACACACCTTTCTGCTCATCTTCCCATCCTGGTAATAGCCCCAGACTGGCAGCCAAAAGCCCTTTTAAAGGTGAAGCCAAATCCGATCAGCTCACACCCCATTGTGGGCAAGAGCCACACTTTAGTCTCATGGACTAGTACTATTATCTAAACACAACACGGAGTTGTATTTTTTGTTGTTGTTGTTATTGCTGTATCTTGTAGTAGGTAGATATTTAAATTCTGTAAAATTAAATTATATTAGAAATTCAGTTCCTCTATTTCTTTAGGCACATTTTAAGTACTCAGAAAAGCAACATGTGGCTAGTGAATACTATATTGTAGAACAGAGATATAAAACATATCTGTCCCTCCAGAAGTTTCTATTGTATAGTACTGAGCTAAAGGAAATAATTCTCTGCACAGATTCCACATTCACACATAAAAAACACAGAAAAGTCTTTGCTAAATATATCTACCAAATACACTATCATGGTTCTTGTCATTGAGTTGAATTTGATTCATGACAAACCAATGTGTGTAGAGCAGAAGGTCTCCAAAGAGTTTTCAAGATTGTGTCCTTTTGAAAGTAGCTTGTCAAGCATGTCTTTCAAGGCACCTCTAGTTGGCTTTGAACCATCAATGTTTTGGTTGGTAGTTAAGTGTTTATCTTTTGTGCCACATATGGACTCCATATTGCTGCCTTCAAACTCCTAAATTCAACAACCAAAGCCAGAACTTGTCCCTAGTTACTCTGCAATGGATTTGTTTTGGGCTTTTAGAAGACAATATAAAGACAGTATGGTGCATTAGAAAATAAGATAGATTTGAAAAAACTGTGAATTTACTGTAAACTTCAGGTTTTGTATCTGAGCAACAGGAAGAGAGTTTATACTTAATGACTTCCAAATTATCCTTCTCAAATTTCCATCATTTGGAAAAAATATAAAGAACAAATAGGGGTTTGGAGAGGAAAGGTTGTTTCATAGCTTCCAAATGTACCCTTTGAATTGGCTTCATTACTAGGAAACTCTCTGGTTCTCTTCCCGTTGGATGGAAATACAATGTTTTGACCTTAATGTCAACAACATAGGTCATGAGAAAATTAAAAAGCAGTTTCAGCTTCCTTTTGTAAATCTTTATTATGGAAACAAATTCCACACAAACCAGGATATTTTGGACCTAAAACCTCTGGAAACCATACCTCTTATTTTAGGGACCTAAACCCTTAATCCTCATCAAAATGACAATTTTCTGATAGTGTTTAAAGTAGTAAAAATTACATAAGTAAACATATTTATGCTGTTGTATGATTTAAATTTACATTTTCATTTGAGCCTAAATCAAAGTCTTTAGTGTCAAATAATTCCCCGAATAACTCAGAGGACTATAGGACATTTGTGGAATATGTTCTATTTGTTTTTATAGCTCTACACCTTTATTTAACCTGAAATGCTCCTAAAGTGCTGCCAACATTTAGACCCTTGTTTAAACAATATCTTTCCCATGAAACCTCTCCTCACTGTGTCTTTGTTTCACCTCAGTGAAATTATTGTAAGAGAAGAAACAGGCTTATTTGTGATCATGATTTATATCTTGTAGACATAAATACAAACATGTAAGAATAGCGTAAGGCTTGACATATGTCATGATCAATTTCTGTGTAGAATAAAATCCATTTCTTGTGATAACTTGAGTCTGATTCCCTGGAGACGTTTCATTGAGGCTGGCCTTCCTATCTCATCCACTCTTATTCATTGCTGTCTAATAAAACTTACTCATACTTGACCCTCCAAGGGATTTCCAATCCCACAAATGAAATCTGACTTAAACTCATTGCTGTTGAATCAGAACTAATTTATAACTGACCTTCCAAACAGGTATTGTGAAGGCTGTAAATGGCATGGGAGATGAGACTCCCTGTCTCTCTCCTGCAGAACTACTCGTGGATTTGAATCACCAGAGAGAAATGTGCTTTGGTTATCAGTACAACTCCCTGTGAACTATATTGTCAGAACTCCATTAATTAGTAGAATCATAAAAGTATATTTCCTTCTGTATTCCATCATATTTTCCTTAACATGTCTTATATAGCAACATGCTTGTATCTCTTTTCCATATTTTAATCAAGTTCTTATTTTCTTTGTGTTTTTTAATATCTTTGTTGAAACGTCTTTCCTTTTCTATGGCCTAGAGAAAGCCTCCAACTTTCAACAAGTCCTAGTCTAAATAAATAGTTATATTTCCACTCCCGTTATAACATTACCATGACGCATTAACATTGCTTGTGAGGATTTTGAGGGACAAACATGTCATATTCTTTTCCTCTTTACCACAAATGTTTAGCCTGGTATCTAAGATTACATCTTGGTAGAAAAAGCAAGGCTGTGGTCCAAGATCTACCACTTATTGATGGGTGATAATTAATAAATTTGTATTTAAACTCATACTTAATTTCTTCACATGTATAATGCATGATTTTCCTTTCTGATTCTTGTGTATCTCAACATTGTCTAGGACACAATATATACTGTATTTTTCCTGATAAACACAGATGTTTATATACACAGATGCATATCTCTTATATCCATATCAAGCTATGTGAAAATGAAAAAAAGAAAATAATTATTTTTTAAAAAGTAGAACTTTTATTTCTTTTTTTAATTTTTTAAAAATTTTATTTCATTTTGTGTGTGTGTGTGTGTACCGTCAAATAAAATCTGACTGATACAGGAGGAGATTGTTCCTCCTTCTCCAGCAGAGCATCTGGTGGATTTGAACCGAGTACCTCTGAGATTGCAGTGCAGCTTCTTGCCACTAGGCCACCAGAGCTCGCCAGACCTTTTATTTCTAACATGAATAATCTCTGCTATTGGTATATTTATTATGTCTTTAGAGTCATCAGATATATTAAAGTTTGAACACAATTAGATTGAAATATGTATTTAAAAATCAAGTTTATACTCACAAATTTTCACTACATAGCAAGCATTCATTGCCATATGTGACTCCATCTGTCCCACATACAGGGTCATAGATCCTGGGGCATCCACTGATAGCATTGATGCATTTTGCCTATAGTAGAATTAAAGAAGATTATTTTTCATTCTTTTAGTTTATTGCAAAATGTCTAAAATAGAGTTGTTATCACTAGAGATATTAAAATGATTGTAATTGAGAGAATAACACTATATTCTAGGAGAAAGATTTCTAAATTTGGAATAAAGAAAAAATAAAACTACTTTTAAATAATGCTTTTCCTATTAACATGGTATGTGACACTGGAAAGTCACATAACCTCTACGAATCTCTTCAAAATCTTGTCTATAGGTTCAACTGAAAGAGATTAGCTATAGTTTTCTCAGGCCATGGTCTTTCTGATAACTTGCTATGAATCTGAGAGCTGGACAATGAATAAGAATGGCAGAAGAAGAATTGATGCCTTTGAGCTGTAGCGTTGGAGAAGAGCACTGAACATCCCATGGACAGTTAAATGAATTAACAGCTATGTCTTGAAGAGGGTACAGCCAGAGTGCTCTTTGGAGGCAAAGACAACGAGGCTTTACCTCACATATTTTGGACATGTTGCTAGGAGGGACTATTCTTTTGAGAGGGACATGATACTTGGAAGGGTGGAGGGTCAGCAAAGGAGAGAAAGACCCTGAGTTAAGTGGATTAACCTGGTGACTGCCACAATAGGCTCTAGTGTGTCAGGAAGTGTGACGATGGCACAGGGTAGGACAGGGTTCAGATCTGTCACTTGTAGAGTTACTATGAGTCATACTCAACTTGACGTCACCTAAACAACAGTGCTCTTTGGAAAAAAAATCCACCTGATAAGTGTAAAATTACAAAATCTTTTTACCTCTCTTTCCAGACAGTTAATTTTGGTGTTACCTAGAAAACATAGACAATATATGTTAAATTGAGCTCCAAGGTAAGGGAGGCCAGATGTTTCCCTTTAAAGAATTTTCTGCTTTCATTGAAGACTGACTTCTCTGACACCCTCTTTCACCCATCACACTGTTTTTAGTTCCATCTTTATTCCAGTTTGTATGACTGGATCTTCTCTCTGCATGTGAAAACTGAGGAAAAATTATTTTAAGCTCAACTACCACCAAATAATCCAATTAATGTTTCAAAGATGCCAATCTATTCCTTGAAAATAGAAATACTTGGCTTTCAATATAGCAGGTATAGAGTGAATATATGTTGACTACTCACCAACATTCTTCCAGCTGTTTACACCTATGATATTCATGATTTCTTAGTAATGAAGTCAATATATTTGTCTCAGCTTATGGATGAAGGCATGAAGAGTTGATTGACTAGTTGTGACTCAGATTTTCTGACACAAAACCAGCTTTTGTAAATAGATTTCAGTCTTTTCTAATTACTTTAATGAAAATATACCAGACAAAACTTGTCATTCCAGCAATTTCTACATGTATAGTATAGTAATTAATTATAACTTGATTTTTCAAGTTGTACATTCTTGCTATTTCTTTCTAATAGATTCCACCATTGTTAATATAAGTTAAATATATCCTAAGCAAAAACTCTCCCTTACTCCCTTCTTCTCATCATTGAAGACAATTATTAAGTCATATTTTGTAACCAATATTTAACAAACATCTCTATTGATATCTCATCATTAATTGTTATTAGAGGTTATTCTCATAGTAATATTTTCTCACTGGACTAATTGATGCCTTTGAGCTGTGATGGTGGAGAAGAGTATATACCATGGAGTACTAGGAAAAAGAACAGGTTTGTCGTGGAGAGGGTGAAGCCAGGCTGCTTTTTGGAGACAAAGATTCTGAAGCTTTGTCTGACATACTTTGGACATGTTGCAAGGAGTGACCAGTCTTTGGAGAAGGACGTCATGCTTTGGAGGGTGGAGGGACGGCACAGGAGAGGAAGACCCTCCATGAATGGATTGATTCAGTGACTGGGATAATCAGGGGAGGTGCGTTGGAGGCAGTGAGATTGGCACAGGATAGGGCACGGTTTAGGGCTGTTGTACATAGGGTCTCGTGGCACATAACAACAACAAGAACAGAGGTCCAATTACATTTTATGTTCTTATAGATAAATGATCAGAATAAACACTCTGAATTCCTCAGAAATGATGAGATTTGCTCACACTGTACACGAGATTGTAACTTTGCATAAGTTAATGGACGGAAAGGAGGACTTCTCTGAGACCACTCAAAAAAAGCAAATATTGATGAGGTTTGATTTTGCTATCTACTGTGTCTGAACCTATCTGGGTACACCAAAACCAAACCCTTTGCTGTTGAGTCAACTCCAACACAGATCATTTATGTATTACAGAGTAGAACTTATTATTCTTACAAAAACAGATCACCAGCCCTCTTTTTAGCAGTGCGTTAGAGTGAGTTTGAATCACCAATCGTTAAGTCAGCAATCAATTGCAATATGTTCTGCCTAGGAACCTTGATCTTGGTAAGGAGCAGGATTTTTCCCAATAGGAGTATTGAAAATAGGCATCTATAAGCTTGGAGAAGAAGGTTTCTTGGAATAATCAGGATGTGGTTAAGATTCTACAAATGTTTAGAATCTCTGTTAGTCTGAAGATTGATAAGCAGCTTATTAATATATCTATCTGTCATCTATATAATTTAATAAGCATTAACTCATTCATGTTGAATTGGAATCCACTAATTACTAACCCTCTAATGGGTATTCAGAGGAGGAGCAACTGGTGGATCCAAACCATGTGTTTTTGTGATGGCTGCCCAACTTCTTAGCCAGCAGGCATTAAGAAAGTGAAAAGAGATCCTTACTTGAAGAAATATTTAGTTTATGCATAATGATTTTCTTCTTAGCAAGGTTTTTCTTTAACTGGTGATAAGTTTCTTTGCATGCTCTGAGATGAAGTTGACAGTGTTGACTACTTATAGAGACAAAAAAAGAAGCTCTTCACAATTCATTGGAGTAAAAAATTGTCTGCCAACATGATCAAGATGTAGTTAGGGAATATATGTACAAACATTCTGAAGATCAAGAAATCAATATTTTGGACAATACAATTCTGCCTTTTATACCGAATGACACAAATGCATTTTTACCCATTTTCATGCAATTCCAGGAGAATTTAAAATTTATAACTTAACCTTATGTTAAACCTGGCTCACTGCTGTTTCCTCTAAAGAACAGCTGGTGGATTTGAACTACTGATATTTCAGTTAGCAGTACAACACAACATGCACCAGGTGTCTTTAAATTTCTCTTAAATATTTACAAAGTAAAAAATGTGCTCAATCCTGAAATAATTCCATTTTCTTTTCTCTTCTTTATTACTGACAAGTGTAAGACTCCAATCCCAGAGAAAAACCATCTCAGAACAGTTCTCAGTATATTTTATCTTAAAATCTTTTTGTATTTCTCCTCTATTAATCTTATTTTCATGCTACTGAGAACAACTGAGCTGTTTAAAACTGTACCAAAGCCTGTGTTCAGAAAAGCAACAAGTCAAAACTTTTTTAACAATCAGAAAAAAAAATTCAAAGACACATACATACCAGATAAACTGAACAGAACCAACACACTGAGCAGAAAGACACTTGCTGTCTTCATGGCTGAAGTTTGGCGTCCAGAGCTTGGTTGAAAACTATAGAGCGTGGATCACTTCTTTTCAGAAGCCTGGGAATGGAAGGGCCATATATGTGGAAGGACAGCACAGGCTCCACCTGCCGCACTGTATTGCAGACCTCCTTGATTATTGATTAACTTCCTATCATAGCCCTGTGTCTACGTTCCAGAATTTCACCTGCGTAAGATAGGGAATGGGGGAAGGGAAATGGTGCTAAAATACAAGAATTCAGACTCTCTTAGGAAAACATGTTTAGTGATCAATTTGGCCTATCCTTCAATCTCGTCACGATTATGAGAAAACTTCCCTCTTCTTGGGGCCTAGTTTTCTTATCTGTAGGTGAACATACAGGGTTTTAACTATCTGATTACCAAGGTCCCTGCTGCTCTGGATATTTGTCGAAATATCCAGTTGTGACTGGCTGGTTTACTGAACAATACACTAAATACAATGTCCAACATGTTAATATTTTAATAGTAGAAACCTTGCCTTCTTATCGGATACTCTTCCTACAGAATACCCAGTTTTGTTTCCCAGCCAGTGCACCAATGCATCTCATATGTAGTCACTACCTGAATCTCAGCATTTTGCTATAATGCTGAATGTGTTTTAACAGAGCTTATATACTAAGATGGATTAGTAATAAAGACCTCATGATAACTTCTGAGAACCAACCAAAGAAAGTTTTATGAATCACAAAGAACTCATCTGCAACTAATTGAAATGGCACACAACCCTTGTGCATGAGATTGACATGAGTTCAGGCCTAACATGATGGCAGCTAACCCTTTTATAAATTTTGGTATGTACACTGCTAACTACATCTCAACTGCTGGGAAATTACTGCTGTACTTTTGCACTACTCACAATATGCACTGATGTACAGGGCAGGGACTGGTATACTGTATAGAGTCAAGGTAGTGTATTGGCATCATACTGCTGTGGTGAGAGGTAGTTGTCTGAGTTGGTGCACTGTAGAAGCCAGATTTTGTGAATCTTCCCTGTTTGGACTTCAGTACAGTGAGATAAAGATGGTAAGTATATTTACTGTTTTCTTTTTGCTGTTGGAACAGTACAATTTTGACATTAGGTAGTATTTCAGTGAACGGACTCCTTTCAAGCAAACTATATTGTGTGCATGTGGCCTTAATGTGCTTTGTGATCACAGGAACAAATAGGTTACGTTTACATTTTTGTAATTTTTGTTTGTTTGTTTTGGAACAATAATGGGCCACTGAGAGGTGTCTTTAAACTCATGATTACTGAGGATTTACTCAAGAAGAATTAATTATCAGAAAAATGAACTTTATTTTCCACCCCCATTTCATTCCATCTATTTTACCTGCAGAGTCCACTGGTACAATGTAATGGCTTTGTGCTTGGTACTAGGTTGCTAGATGTAATTTTGGCTTTTGTAAAGTTAAAGATTGACAATATTTATTAAATGAATAAAGTGTCTTCAGCTTGAATTATTATTTAGGTGGTAGTTTCATTGCCAGTAGGAAGGTTTACAATAGTCACTGACAAGGGCAGCTAATATTTGAGAAAAGTAATTTTTTTCTTTAGTTTTTCAGGTAGTGTGCAAAAGATTGAAATAATTGGTGGGGATATTTTTGGAGGAATTCATTAGACAATATTACATTAGAATAGCTGAGCATTAGCATTCACTTTCAGACAGGCCTGAGCTAAAATATATAGCCTTTCCACCAAACTGGCGATTTCTAAACATTTTAAGATTTTTAGGATGATTAAGTATTTGTGTGATAAATCATAATATGTGTGTTATTGCTGTGAGTTGTCATTAACTGAAATTGGCTCATAGTGAACCTATGAACAATGGACCTGAATTCTGCCCTATCATCTGCATTTTTAGAATCTTTCATATATATACGTGGTCACAGTCACTGTGCCAATCTACATCATTAAGGATCTTACTCTTTCACTGACCCTATTCTTTTCCAAACGTGATATCCTTTTCCACAGACTGAAGCTAACATGCCCAAAAGATGTTGAAGTTTCAACATCCTTGGCTCCAAGGAGGAACTGGATACATTGCTCCAGGACATATTTTGTTTGTTCTTTTGGTAGTCCATTAAATAGTCAGTACTCTTTTCCAATACTACAACTCTAAATGATCAAATCTTCTGTCATCCTTAGTCATTGTCTGACTTTCAGATTCACAACAAGTAATGGAAAAGGTAATAGTTAGGATGAGATACACCTTTTTTCCCTTCTTTTTTTTTACTAAATTTTATTAATTTTAATGAACATTTACAGAGATTTTGGGTTTCAATTCATTCATTGTTGCACTATTTTCTCTACCTTCTCCGCCATTTCATTCCTCTTTTTTTTTCTCCCCCTTGAAAGTCTGTTTTAATTATCCCATTTAACAGATATCATTGCTCCTCAGCAATTTGGAGATGTCTATGACAGCAAATTTTCCCAATATTATTTGTCTTGTGTTTTCTTGACTGCAGTTCCAAGGGCATTGATTATGGATCCAAATAAGATGAAATTGTTAAGAACTTCAATATTTTTTCCATCAATCATGACTTCGTCTATTGGTCCAGCGGTGAGGATTTTTATTTTCTTGGTGTTGAGATGTAATCTACACTGAAGACTGTAGTCTTAATTTAATTTTTTAAAAGAGTTAAGTTCCTTACATCTTTTATTTACTTTTTTCAATTTTATTATATGCTAGTTTGTTCACAAAGTTTGCATACATTGTTTTTTCACATCAGATATTTCCAATTTCCTTTATCCACCCCTCTTTATCCATCAAATTGTGTGACTCTATGAATACTCCCCTGCCCATCCTCACCCCTCTGCTCCTACTCTTCCCCCCTTGAATTTCCATACATGCTTTACTAGTTATCTTTCTATTTCTACATTAATAACTTTGAACATCAAAGTACAAATCTCCATTTGTGTCTCAGTTCTAATTTTCTAGGGATATATCCCTAGATATTCCAAGCAGTAGAATAGCTGGATCATATGGAATTTCTATGTTCAGCTTTTTTAAGAAACTTCCAAACTGCCTTCCAGAGTAGTTGTACCAGTTTACAATCACATCAGCAATGTATAAGAGTTCTTATCTCTCCACATCCTCTTCAACACTTATTACTTGCTTTCCTGTTAAACTTTGCCACTGTTGCTGGAGTGAGACAGTTTCTCTTTGGGGTTTTCATTTGTGTTTCTCTTATTGTCAGTGTTTTTAAGCAATCTCTTCAAGTGTCTGTTGGCCATATGAATATCTTCCTCTGTGAAAATTTTTCCCATGTCATTTGCCCAACTTGTAATTGTGCTATTAGCCTTTTCCTTATGAGCTCTGAAAGATTCTGTAAACTTTTGGCATGAGACTTTTGTCTGAGATGCTATTGCCAAACATTTTTTGTTTCTTCCCTCTCCCCTCGGCCCCCAGTCAGTAAGTTTTCTTTTCACTTTATTGGAAAATGTTTTTGATGTGCACAGGAATTTAATCATCAGAAGGTACCAATCATCAATATTAACTTTTCCTGGTTGTGCCTTTCTGCCTGTATTTAGTAGCCATTTTATACACTGAGCTAGGCCTTCTAAACTTGGTCCTCCTAATTTGTCTTTTGTAATCTTTAGGTTTTGGGCCTTACCACTCAGTCTCTAACCTACATTGAGTTGACTTTTGTGTGTAGTGAGTGGTGTGGCTCCTGCTTCAGCTTTCTGCAGGTAGTAGTAAAGTTTTTCCAGCACAATTAATTGAGAAGGTTGTAGTTTCTCTATTTGATAGATATTGCTTCTTTGCCAAATATTAGTTGAGCACAGATAGATGGATTAATTTCTGGGTTCTCAATTCTATTCTATTTGTCTGTGTGCCTATAATTGCACCAATACCATGCTGTTTTGATAATTACTGCAGTGTAGTAGGTTTTGAAGTCAGGGAGTGCTATGCCTCCCACACTATTCTTGTTTATTTTCAGAAGTGTTTTTCTTATTTGAGGACTCTTCCCTCTCCAAATAAACTTGCCACTTGCCTTTTCTATCTCTTTGAAAAATCAATTTGGTAGCCTTATTGAGACTGCATTAAACATGTAGATTGCCTTTGGTTAGATGGTCAAGGCTGTAGTCATCAATCTTCTGCAACAAGCCTTTCAAGTCCTCTTTGCTTTTGGCAAGCAAGTTTGTGTCATCTGCATGATGCAGATTGTTAGTGAGTCTTCCTCCTGATGATATATTCCTCTTCATAAATCCAGTTCCTTAAATTATTTGCTCAGTATACACATTGAACATGAATGGAGAAAGGACACAACCATGACACACACATTTCTTGATTGTAAACCATGCATTTTTCCTTTTCCACTTGGACAACAGTTCTTGGACTTGGTTTAGGTTTACATAAGAACAATTAACTGTTCTGGGATTTCCATTTTTCTCAATGGTAGCCATAATTTATTATGATCCACATAGTCAACTACCTTTGCATATTCAACAAAACAAAAACACACATTCTTCTGGTATCAGACATCAGCAATAATATCCGTTGTGCAACAGTTTCTTCCAAATGCAGCTTGAATTTTTGGCAGTTATCTGCTGATGCCACTGTACCAGCTGTTTTTGTCTAAAATTCACCAAGATTTTACTTGCATGTGGAATTAATCATATTGTTTTATAATTTCCACGTTCTATTAGATCATCTTTCTTAGGAATGGAAACAAAAGTGGATTTCTACCAATAAATTGGCCAGGTAGCTCTCTTCAAAATTTCTTAGCACCTGTTGGTGAATATATCCAGGCTGCATCTATTTGTTGAAGCTTGTCAATTGACATCCATCAATTCCTGAGAGCTTATTTGTAGTCAATGCCTTCAGTGTCAATTGTACTTCTTTTATTACCGTTTGTTTGTGAACATATGTATTTCCTGGAATGGTTCATGTCATCTATTCATTCTAATAAATGGCTCTGTGTATTCTCTCCATCTTTCTTTGTTGCTTTTTATGTAGTTAAGCCAAACT